ATATACTGTATATACTGTATATAAATAATGCAGTATAGCTCATGAAAAAAATCTAAAGGTTTAAGTAAAAAAAAAGAAAGAACTGAAAATCCTTTGGGTATACAAAGCTGTACACTCTACAGGTGCAGACATGAAGGCCTTTGCTCTGTGCGCCTCTTGCATTCACTGGATGCCTCTGTGGAACACAGCACCGCAACAGATACCGCAGCAGACACTTTATTCATTTCTTCTGTGTCACGCAACTGATCTATTTTCCAACAGAGTATTTGGATATGCTGAGAGGAAAGGAAATCCCTGTATACAGGTCACAAGCAGGTGCTATGTAGTTAGATTACCTTTAATAATCTAAATGTAAGTAATCTTTGGCAAATTTCTACTTTTCATGCTGTTCCTAAATTCACTTAGCATTTAAAATGGTTGATTTGAGTTTTTTGTTTATAAAATTATTTATAGACAAAATAGAATTTTAATTTAATTAAATTTTTAGACGAAATAGAATTTTAATATCGGCCATTCATAAGACCATGACAGAAAAATAATTATTTGCTCATCGATATTATCTTAAATTTTAAATATTTGTGCATCCCCAGAAACATTATGTATTTTTATGTATTTAGAATGCCATGCATTTGCACTTTCATACCCAGGTCTCCTTGGCAGATATCTGTCCTGTTGGCTCCCCCAAGAATGAACTGTGGATTGCTACAAATTTCCTGTTTAGGAAAGAGAAACATATATTTATAATTGTTATAAAAAATATATTTACATAGTAACTGTATTTTTAAACTTCTACTATCTTCAGAAAAGAATATGGCTGTATCTCTGAAGATCAGCACCACCACAGAAATTCAGCAGCTGTCCATGGGTCATAAAGTTTGCTGACCGGAACTTCGCTAGCGCGTTTTTATGAGCTGCATCTCAAAAGGGGTCAAGGCATGATAATGTACAGTATGTAAATCCTTCTCATTATTTTTAAAGTGTCAGTAAATGCAAATGAAAATGCGTGACTGACTTTTTGAAGCACCAATCCAAAAATGTATTTAACAACCTAGCAAAGGCCTTGCAAGCCGTGTCCAGTAACCTGATTCTCTGAAGCAGTATTATGAAGTAAAGCTATAAATGTCTGTCACACATCAGTCAAAACAAATAGGTCAACTTTTAATAAGTTACATGAGATGGACTGACAAAAAACACCACATAAATATTCACTTAGAACACTAATGCAAATGCATGACACATTTATACACTTTAAAAACAAGATGCTACTCCAAAATCTTTGTTTACATTATTTAATAGTGATGATAAGAAAATAGAGCCACATATCAAACCTAATGACACAAGTCCATAATCAGGTAGAGCTCTGTTTTATGAAGCACTAGCACAACATAGCATGCATGATTTGGCAAGTCAGCTGCCTGAGACTCCAGAGCGTGCTAAACTGCAGCCATGTCCCCAACACACACACACTACAGAA